ACCAGCTAGACTTCAGTGAGTCCGAGAACCTTAGAAAGGGGAACCAATATGGTTAGAGCAAAACTACTCTGGACTGCTTCCTATCCCTTCCTACCTATCTGGAATAACTCATTTGCTGCTCAGCCTCTTTTCTTATAAAGTCTTTCTTGCTAGAAAAGAAGATTAACTAGAATTGGGCAATGTGTTAATGAACATATGGACTGGTTTGCCAGTTTATGAATGGCAGAAAAATTATCTCTTTTTTGAAGGGGGGGCACGAAGGGAGAGAGGGAAAGGGGGGGCGAGAAGAGTAGAGATCCAGGTGTTTCCTTGATTTATTTTAAACAATTCTAGGAAAGAAGTAAGGGGGAAACATAACTCAATTACACACTCTTAAAAATACAGAGACATATAAATATAGAGGTAGAAATAGAGAAAGAAGAAAAAGAAATAGCATTGTACTGAATTCTGGAGTTAAGCTAAGTTGCTTGTCAGTGGAATAGCCTCTAGGGCTGCAGCAGTTACCCATGTCTGTATTCAATGGTCATCAGCTCCCAATACAAAATCTACACAGTCAGCTTTTTTTTGTCTTTTCTTGCTATCTCCTCCCAGTTCCTTTTGGGCAGATAAAAAGGCAGTGGAGCTTAAAATGTACTATTCCTTACTGAACTTTCAGTTCAAGAATTAACTAGCGTTTAATTGGCTGTATAGGTGGGTAACTGTTGGAGGTTCTTTCAGGTTGATTGAAAACATTTCTCTCTGCTGCCCCATATCCTGCTCCTCCCTCTTTTCATGTGTGAATTACGGTTTGCTGAAGAGTCAGGTGTGTGTGTGTGTATGTGTGAGGAAGAGTGTGACAGGGAACTTTAAAAACAAAGCAATGTAGATAGTTTAGGGAAGAATCCAAAACGTTGAACAATTTCCAATAATCATTTGAAGAACCAGGCACCATCTAAACTGTCCCGAGCCTCAAGCTATATTTTAGCTCTCAGTTTATATACTCTCTGATACACGTAGTAATGACTGCTGACCTATGTAAGTGCAGTTATCCCAACAATTTTTTTTCCTAGGCTAATTATAATGTTTTCCTTCAGGAGAAAAAAAAAAAATCCATATTGTGCTCATAGTTCATCTGCATATTTATTGTAATACTGTGCCTAAGTCATTTACATTGTTTTGTAAACAATGCACTTAGGGAAAGAATCAGGCAATTTAAATAAATTATAAAATGAAATTAGTTTGTTGGATAGTGGGTAGCACCATAAAAGAGGTTTAAGAGATTCACAAGCAGTCTGTGTGGGAGACTCAGTCTAAACAGTTGCCATAATTTCTCCCTCATTCCTGAAATAATGCTGCTCTTGATCATGTAGGAGATTAGGAAAGTTTCATTATTCCTTACGACATATCCTGCCAAATGAAA